CCCCCAACGGAAAACTTAAAATAACACTGCTCGATCATCGGGACGTCTTCGCCGACAGGCAACCAGCCTACTTTCGTATTCCCTCTGTTGTCTCCAACAGGAACAAGATCCCTCCCTGTCGACACGCTCGCTCTTCTCTCCATATAACCTGGCTCAAGCGATGCGATTAAATCGGACCCCATCCCCCAGAAAACAAAAATAAAAACCAAAACGTCCCGCAAACATGAAATTGAAAATTCCATCGCAACTCATCTGAATTTTTTCAAAAATAACACATTTTCTTTAATTATATCAGATTAATTATTATGAAATGTTTACCTTATAATTCCCTCAGATATAATTAATTACTGTAATTAATTATATTATATTTTATCATTGGCGCGAATATCGGTTCAATTTACTTTCCAGTCGTATTAAATTAATCACCTCATCCCGACCATGCGATGTGAGGAGATACGTTTTACATGAAACAAGCATGTTGGTTATTTGTCAATTTTCAAAACCCCCCTATCTTCGCCTTTATTTCTTAAATCTCTTAATTATAAATTCACCTTTTGGCTCGCGAATTATTTTCCAAAAAATTATTCTTTATGGTTTATTACGAGATGAACTTTGCGCTTTATGCGCCGGTATACAGTGTAAGGAAGTAGGCGTGTTTGCAATCTCACTAAGGAATGCAAAATTTATACCTATTGCCGTTATCGATAATACGTCCTGAAAATAGTCTTCAAAAAATGAAAAACTGATTTATAATTTAGATATACTATATCCAATCTTCGATCTCAACTGATACTCAAAATAAGTGGAGAATATTATTCACGGAAGGTTTTCATCTTTTTTTGATGAATTTCTCTTTTTTTGTATATAAAGTTGCTTTCTTCGTATCTTTCGTTGTTCGTCGTTCGATCATTGTCACGCATATATTATATATAAAAAACATTCATAGAAGATCTGACATCAAATTTATAGAACCCTTTATGAGTTTGAAAATTATTATATAAACTTTTAAATTCTGTCCGACATATTGGATCTGCCATTTTTAATTTTGTAAAATAAGGTAAAATTTCGTAGTCTTCATCTAATTTAACATTAGAGATCTCGTTTATTAAAAAAATCAATTTTTTATTATTAAATTTAAAAAAAATAAGAAACTGGAAGATATTTGCAGAAATATATATATAACTGTGGTCAGCGGCTCATCTTTTGATGTCTTCACACACTCGAGAGAGTGTTTACTGCTGATGATCGTTTGCGCCATCGTGTTTTGGTGGCACACATTATGTGCGCCTTGAAAGCTGGGGAGGAAGCAGAGAAGAATCTCAAGAAGAGTCCCATGGACCTTCCTTATTGCGTGATATTAGCCACGGCTGCTGCACTGTCTGCCACCGTTGCGCTTGGATGGGGTAATCATAATCTCGAGAAGGGCAAAACATAGTTCCCCAAAAAGACTGAATTTTACGACACCAACAGTTGGTGCATTCTGTCCATGAAAATATACATATATATATATAAAGATACAACCGGATGTAAGACAACTTTTTTTGTTTCACTTTCATGTGTTCCTGTCCTCTCTTCCATATAAGACTTTGCGGACTCCAGGATTCACTATATCACATTGTATTCTTAAAAAAATTCTTTTTCTCCTATTTTCTGATAATCTTCTTCAAATATTTGTAGTTTTTCCTTTGTCATCGATATAAATTTTTATCATTTTTAAATAAATATTTTATAATTATTCTGCCACAGGAATTAAGCTATTTTCAAAAATTTCGAATTCAATAACATAAGAATATTATTATAAAACATGAAGATATTGATCACTCCGAGTCTTCAACCCGGAATCTTTCTTCATGTTTCATATAATAATTAAAAATTTCTAATTTGTTACTGTAACTTCTTCAAAAATTATTTTCATCATTTCGATTATTAATTACTAGAATTTTCAACTTAAATTCTTTTTTAACCTCACTACGGTCAACCCCGAGTATACTCGGGGTGTATCTTTCTTTTATTTATTTGAAAAAATTTAATTCGAGAGTTATATAAATAAAACTCTTAGTGTAACTTGAAGCTTTTTTTCGGACATTCTTCAATTAAATATATTGGAAATTAAAAACTTTATAAAATTAAGAAAAAATTCGACTTAACTTTTTGAAGCAAATTAATTCTACAGAATTCTTAAGTAAAAGTATGAAAAGATCAAATTTTCAAACATTTTAATTTGAAACTTTTTGGAAATTCAATTATTTCTAAAAATCCACGATTTGAATATTCAATTATAATCTAAAATTTTAACTGAAATACATTTTTAAATCAATATTTTTTTTAAAAATTCTATGAGAATTCAATTAGTTAAATACAAAAATAAATATTTTATTACATTGAATGTTTCTTAAAATTGAATTTTCATGAAGAATTTTATCAAAAAAATTTTAAATAATTGAATTCTCTTGACAAATTTTAATAAAATTTTTAGTAATAATTTCATTTTTCGAGAAATTTGATGAAAAATTGTATTAAACATAAATGAAATTCTGCCAAGAATTTTATTTAAAATTTTTGAAAATAATTTAATTTCGTAAAAAAAATTTATTATTTATAAAGATAATTGAAATTTTTACTCGATTTTTTGTAAATTTTTAAACATAATTGAATTTCTGCGAAAAATTATATTATTTTTGAAAATAATTGAATTCTTGAGACGAATTTGAATAAAATTTCTTTTTAAATAATTGAATTCTTTTGTGAAATTTTATGGAAATAGTTGACATTGAAAATAATTGAATTTTGAAAAAAAATTTTATTATTTATAAAGATAATTGTAATTTTGACGAGATTTTTGTAAATTTTTGAACATAATTGAATTTATGCAAAGAATTATATTATTTTTGAAAATAATTGAATTCCTGAGACGAATTTTTTTTTTTAAATTTTATTAAATAATTGAATTCTTTTGTGTAATTTTATTGAAATAATAGACATTGAAATAATTGAATTTTGATAAATTTTTAAAATTAATTAAATTTCTATAAAGAATTTTATGAAAATTATTTTGAAAAAAAATGAATTCTTAGAAAGAATTTCATGAAAATTTTTGAAAATAATTTAATTTTTTGAAGAAATTTAATTAAAACTGTATATTGAAAATAATATTTGAATTTAAATAAATAAATTGTAGGAATGGTTTTTAAAAAAATTAAATTTCTTTGATGAATTTTAATAAAATTTTTAAAAATAATTATGAATATAATGAAATGTTTGCGTAGAATTTTATTAAAAATTTTTTTAACTAATTGAATTCTTTTGGGGTTTTTTTATTAAAGTATTAGATATTAAAAATCATTGAATTGGGGAAAATTTTGACAAGAATAAAGAAAGAAATAGGACAAAATAAAGAAATTCTAATTCCAATTCTAAAGTTTTAGAAAATAATTGAATTTTTGAGAAGAATTTTACTACTTTTGAAAATAATTGAATTTCTGCAATTATTTGTAATTGCTTCAAAATTCAATTTGTTTAAAATTAACTAATTTCAGAAGAATTGTAGTTACTAAATTTTTTTAAAAATCTAGGTTTTATAATATTGCTAATTTTAAAATATTAGATTTTAAAAATAAACACAATAACTTTAGACAACAATTTTCCAGGATTTTGATCAAAATTATCTGACGTTTCCAGGTTTTTTTAAGGTTTATAAAATTCCCAATCAGAGAGGACATTCAGTGAAAGAAATTAGAAGAAGAGAAAACGTTCAACTTACTTATAACCCATAAATTATTTTTGGCCCTTTTTTCTAGAAAATCTTATTTGCATAAATAGAATAGAAAAAAAATAAAAGTAATAATAACCCATTGAGAATATTCTATACTTAAAGTTAATTACCAGGCAAAAGGTATTTAATAATAAATAACTAAATTTCTTTCCCTTTTTCTAAGGCAGAGACTGCCCCGCAACTTTGTTATGGCTGTAAATAAACTTGTCAGTTTTAAGACGTTCTTGTAAAAAACCAGCATAAGAAGATCTCAAGTGCTTCCAACATTATTTTCTATTGGACGGTTGGTAACACTGTAAACGCGCCGGGAAAGAACCCATTTCAGTGAATTAACTCCTTGTCGATGTTTTTCTTTTTTCGTCACAGCAATTTCTGCCGGAAGTGTAAACAACCGCAATTTTCACCATTATGACAATTTTTAATTTTAATAAACAGAAACCTATTCATTTTTTCCGGAAAATTTATCCTCCAAAAATTAACACAAAAATTTAATATTTATACAATTTGCACACACACACACACTTTTTTTAAGATTGAAGAAAAATTACAAAATTCTCGAAAGACGTATAAAAGACATATAAATTGAAAAAAAATGACTTCATTACATTATTTACAGAGTCGTAAAAACTCTTAGAGTTCCCGGAAGGCAAATTGATTCGAAGGTTGAATCTAAATGTAAACAGAAGTTCAGAATGTCAGAAAATTTTCTACTTCTTTGAAGTTGTAAAATTAAATTCACTTTGAATATCCAATTAAATGGGAAATTTATAAAACTACTGAAAAAAATTAAATATATACCTATATGTGTATAAAATTGAAATGTGACATTCGGAAAATGTGAATCGGTGCGTCTTGGTGCTTCCTGACTTTTTTTTTAAATAAAAGGAAATCAACGGTTTTTCAAGTTATTGAACAAATTATGTTATATTCCAATGTAGAAGCAAATTCTAAGAAACTAAGATCGAGAAACTATGCATAAACCTTTGAACGAGATATTCAAGTTGCGCATTTTATTGCAAAATCGTAAAAGGAAAAGAGAAACTGAGAGAACAAAAGAGTTTTATAGATTTCATATTCGTTTTCGATTCGTGGAATATCAGAGAGAAAAAAATATATAATCAATTTTGTTGATAATTTCCACAACTGTATATATAAGTAAGTCAAATATATTATTGACAAATATTGTAAAAATATTGAAGATGAAAGAAGAAAAAAGTTATCAACTCACCGTAAGGTCGTTCCACTATCTGATCACATGTATCTGTAACAGAAAATTTTCATTTGATTAGAATAATTAAATCATTTTCTTCCTGGTTTTGAAATTATATAAATGTCTTATAAATAGTGCCGAGAGAACTCTCGTTTTGTGTTTATGGCTATTAATTCTTCTTAATGATACATGCAAGAAGTGATTAAGCGGTTATGACACGTGCTATAAATTACGATTATGAGTCACTACCCACAGATATAGTAAGATATTAAAGACTTATTTAAATCAAGTAAATTTTATTTCTCATGTCATTACAAATTCAGGGCATATCATTTTCCATTGAGAATTAATGAGAAATTTCTCCTACAACTCATATGAGAGATATACATATATTAAGTGAATTTATAATTACTAAATTACTTAGTATTGGAAAGTCATTCGTTTTACTTGTAGGTTAAGAACGCACGCGAGGAGTGGGGAGTGCAGAAAGTTGATTGGTTAGTTCACTGGAGGGGGTAATCCCCCCACTTCTTGATCTCAGAGTTCCCATTCAGTCAAAACAATTTTTTATCTTCATTTTAATTTACCTTCTTTCAGGTCAATAAATAAATCAAAGAATCTGCATTTTTTTCTTAATTCTTTAGTCTTGCTTTCTTTCTTATTTTCCAAATTTAAAAAATTCTTCAATCTTTATTTATTGATTGATTAAATTTTTACTTTTCGATTAATTTTTCATTCCTTGTTTCATTTTTCAATCTTTTGTTAATTCTCCACCCTTTGCTCTTCACCCTTTAATTACTTATTTTTTTATTTCGAACCTACATTGTTCGATTTTTTATTCATTTTTTTTCATTCTTTAAATGATTTTTTTTATTTTTACTCATTTTATTAAATTCATCAATTTTTAATTCATTGTTTGTTTTGACTTGCTACAAAAATTTTATTTTATTTTCCTGATTTCCAATCGGAATTTTTACCTATACTATTTCTAAAGAAATTAACAAGAAAAATTTGCAAATTTTCATAGCTTTTGAAAATTAATATTTTATATTTTTTGAAATTTTAAGTAAAATTATTCATTAAATAACTTTTAAGTGATAATTTTCAAGAATCAAATTATTTAAAAAAATCAATTTCATATTCTGCAAAGTTTAATTGATTATTATTATTATTAATAAAAAATTTGTTCGTGCAAAATCGTCATTTTTTATTGATTTTTTAATCTTTTTTAATTTTTCAAGCTTTTTCTAGCATAGAATTTTTATTCTTCGATTGATTTTTCATTCTTTAAATGATTGTATTATTTTTTATTCATTTCTTCTAAATATGTTTTGTTCTTAATTTTTTTATCAATTCTTCCTTCAGGGTTGTCACAAAACTTTTATTTTCTTTTTCCCTAACTTAAAAATAGAATTTTCACTTTTTTCTATAAAAATTAAGATTTTTAAAAATTTTAAATTTCAAACCTTTTTAAATTAAATAATTTTTAATAAGAATTACTTCTGTAACTTCATCAAAATTATGTACACTATTCCAATTCAATTATTTTTTAGAATTTTTAAACAAAATTTGTTGCAGAAAATATTTTTAAAGATTTTTCAAAAACTAACTTTTTCAGAATTTTTAATTAAAATTTTTATTTATAAAACCTTTTGAAATTCAATTATTTATAAATTTTATATGCAATTCATATAAAATTTAATTAGTTTTTGAATTTATTTTTAAAATTCAATGTAAAATTATTTCATTGAATAATTTATCAGAAATAATTATATGATTGTTCTTTAGGAATTAAATTATTTTTAAGGAATTTAATTTTATATTTTGTAAAGATCAACTATTGTCAGAAATAAATAAAATTTAGAGACTTGTATGAAAATTTCGGGTCAATTTTTTGACCGATTCTTCATTATTGTTACCATTCATCCATCATTTTTTCTGTAATTTTTCATTCTTTTTTTAATCTTTTTATTTTATTAGATTTTTTTTTTATTTGTTTAATTTTTGTTCGGTGCGCGATTAATTCTTCTTTCATTGATTGATTATTTATTTTTTCAATTATTCTTAATTATTTATTGTTCAATTCTTCTACTTTTTAATTTTTTTATTCTTTATTTTTCTTTGGTTTTTATTTTTCTTTCTTTAAATGATTCTTTATTTCACATGAACGTTTGATTCTTCTTTGATTCTTGGATTAATTTTTTGTTTTATAATTTTCATTTTTTTAATCGAATCTTTATCCTTTTATCAAAAGGGTTTCTTCTTTGTTTTTCATTATTTAATCGCGACTCCTTATTACTAGCTTGTAATTTTTTTATACTTTTTTTTGATTTTTCATTATTTTTGTAATCTTTATTTTTTGTTTTATTTTTCATTCTTTATTCTTTATTTACTTCTTTATTCATTATTTGATTTTTCATTCGTTGAATAGTGTTTACTTTTTTAATTTTCATTTTGATGAATTATTTTTCTTTTCTCATTCTTTGTTTAGATCTTCATTTATTCTTGTTTAACTCTTCATTATTTATTTAATTCTTGTTCTTTAATTTTACTTTGTTCTACACTATGTTTGATTCTTCATTCTCTTTTTGATTCTTCATTTTTTTATTCTTTCTTTATTCATTATTCTTTCTTCATTCTTTTATTATTTCTTGATTCTTTGTTCTTTCTTCATTCTTTTATTTTTTCTTCATTTTTTTGTTCTTTCTTCATTGTTTTATTCTTTCTTCATTCTTTTATTTTTTCTTCATTCTTTTGTTCTTTCTTCATTTTTTTGTTCTTTCTTCAATGTTGTATACTTTCTTCATTCTTTGATTGAAGAATATTTTTACCTATTAGGAAAATAATTTGAGCCGTGATGAAAATTTTTTACCATGTTATATGTAAATTGATACTGTGGGAAAATTGTTGGGTTTATTTACGCTTGACCATAAGAGGAGATTTCTTTTTTTTTTGTAAATGAACTCAACGCACTGATCGAATGAAAGTTAAAGAAAAATAAAAGTTTTTTAAATGTACTCTGAAACTTAATGGTATATGGCAACTTATCCGAAACCTGCTTGTAACGAGATCGACTCACACCTAGTAATGTCTTACTTAAAAGGATCACGCGACTCTAATAGAAGCGCACAGGGAGGTCATCTAGTGTCATAAACGCTTTGGTCGAGCCTTCTGCAGCGGTTGCGGCGTGCTAATAGCCTCATTAGATATTAATGTTCAGGAGCGTATTCATGATTAAACTTGGCGCGCTTATTCACCATGGCAAAAGAAATATCATTACCCACCAACTGATAAAAAACATTTCCAAAGCGAGCATTCCTGCAAACTTTCTTTATTTGTCTTATTTCTCTATTCATTCTCTTTACTCGCGACGTCAAAATAGTCATTTAACGCTTTTCACCTTGCAGTCTTTTCTTCACCTTCCCCTTATTATCAAAATTCCCTTATATTTCTGAAAAGTACTCAAAAAAATATTAAAAATACTAAAAAGTTTTCGAAAAAAAATCATAAACACAAATTTTCATCACAATAGGCTTCATTTGAAAATTTAGAATTTATCCAAAAATGCATTTTTGAGATCAAATAAAAAAGATTAGTTTGCGTATGCAAAATACAGATTGAATAGGACATTGTATGAAAAAATGCATCAAACGAAGAAGGGGATTTTTTTATCTCTCATCGTCAATCGCAATCAATCAATCAATCTTGAGGTGCCGTATTTTAATATTTTCCATGAATTGACAGTAGGCTTTACGAATCTTAATAGGCCAAACGAGGGTCCAACTCGATTCAACGATAGAGGATAAATATTAAACAACTTTCTTTACACCTATACGCGCAGTTTTAATGCAGAACAGAGAACGTGGCACCGGGCCTCACGGGAGGAAGATGACTGAATCTTAATTAGCGAGGCGTGACAAGTATTCAACAATTCATTCATCTACACGTTGATGAATGAGATAGAATGACTTTATCTTTATTGAATAAAAAAAAAAATTCTAAACCTTATTGAATTTAATTATATACATCATTTTTCTAATTAGATAATTCGTTTCCTTCTATTTTATTCCATTCTACTTCTATATATAGTAAAAACTGGAATTAAACTTTTAACTTGAGTGAATGGTTTTGTTTAAGTTAATATCTTCCAACTAATAATTTCATGTGTAACATTTCCTATTTAGAAAAATTCAAATTTTCCCACTAGTAATTAGAATAATAAACCGTTGCTCCATTTACAACGTTTCTTATTGGCTTGTTCAAATTAAATTCAAATTTTCCCGCCAGTAATTAGAATTATAAACCGTTGCTCCATCTACAACGTTTCTTATTGGCTTGTTCAAATTAAATTCATATTTTCCCGCCAGTAATTAAAATAAGGAACTGCTCACGTCGAAAAATTCCAGGGAAGTACCCCCTGGGATTTCCATGGAACTTCTGCATGGAATTTTCATAAATCCCATAAAAGAAAGGAAAAAATGTTGAATTTTTAGAAATTCGATTTTTCGGATTTTTGATAATTTTTAATAATTTTTGATTTTTTACCAAAGAGTTGAGGCAATTTAATAAGTAAAGTATTTTCCAAAAGCACAAAAATAATGAAGCTAAATCCCATAAAAGAGAAAAAAAAATGTTGAATTTTAAGAAAATCGGATTTTTGAATTTTTTCGAATTTTTGATAATTTTAGATTTTTTACCAAAGAGTCGAGACAATTTAATAAGTAAAGTATTTTCCAAAAGCACAAAAATAATGAAGCTAAATCCCATAAAAGAGAGGAAAAAATGTTGAATTTTAAGAAATACGGATTTTTGAAATTTTTCGAATTTTTGATAATTTTAGATTTTTTACCAAAGAGTCGAGACAATTTAATAAGTAAAGTATTTTCCAAGAGCACAAAAATAATGAAGCTAAATCCCATAAAAGAGAGGAAAAAATGTTGAATTTTAAGAAAAACGGATTTTTGAAATTTTTCGAAATTTTGATAATTTTAGATTTTTTACCAAAGAGTTGAGACAATTTAATAAGTAAAGTATTTTCCAAAAGCACAAAA